AAGAGAGCTGCAACTTAGGAGAAGATATGTTTTCCAACAAGATGACTTGATGCATGAGAAGCTGAGAGCCATCAAGCAAGAAAGTCGAGTGAGGGAAGCCACCAAGACACCTATGACTCCTCTGAGAGAGTTACAAGCTTGAGCAGCTGAGATTGGAGGGACTGTGTGAACCACAACCAGTCAAAGTTTCACGAGAGCGCGACATAGAGAAAGACACTGGTAAAAAAAAATCTCACATTAAGTCTTGACTGGAGTTCACCAGAAACATGTGGGGGACTGAAGTCAATGAGAGAAAGTTTTGTTGGTCCAATGAGACCTACACTGAGCTTTCTGGACATCAAACTATACACTATATGTGGTGGACAACACTTACTTCCACTGTAAAGCATGGTGGTGGCAGCATCATGACGTGGGGATGCTTCTCGGCAGCAGGTCCTGGAAGGCTTGTAAAGGTAGAGGGTAAAATGAATGCAGCAAAGTCAAGGGAAATGCTGGAGGACAACTTGATGTAGTCTTTAAGAGAACTGCGACGTAGGAGAGGATTGGTTTTCTAGCTAGACTATCACTTGATGCATGAGAAGGTGAGGGTGGTAAAGCAAGACAATTTGGAGAGACTGTACGAACCAAGTGAATGAGAGAAAGTTTTGTTGATCTGATGAGACCTAAATTGAGCTTTTTGGACATCAAACTATACACTATATGTGGTGGACAACACTTACTTCCACTGTGAAGCACGGTGGTGGCAGCATCATGACGTGGGGATGCTTCTCGGCAGCAGGTCCTGGAAGGCTGGTAAAGGTAGAGGGTAAAATGAATGCAGCCAAGTAAAGGGAAATGCTGGAGGACAACTTGATATAGAGAACTGCAACGTAGGTGGGTTGGTTTTCTAGCTCGACTATCACTTGATGCATGAGAAGGTGAGGGTGGTAAAGCAAGACAATTTGGAGAGACCGTACGAAGCACAACTGTTGCCTGTTCTTTAACAGTCAAAACTTTATGGGAAAGTGGGAAAGAGAAAGATGCTGGTGAGAAAAATCTCACAT